CCCCCCCCCAAAAGAATGAGATTGTGCAACGATCTGAAGGTTTGCCCTGGCCGTTTCCAACCGCCCGGACGGCGTTGGCGCGAGAGATGTGATTTCACTTTCCGGAAACTGTAGGTTCAGACGGCTTTGGGGCCCTCTTATGACCAGAATGTTCCTCTGGCAGAGTCTCCCCTGAAGACACCTGTCAAGGTGAAGGTCGTTGAGAAGGACATCTCTGTCCAAGCCGTCTCCTGTCACGGCGCCCCTGTCAGTAAGACGTTCTCTTCTTCGGACACAGGTAACGGGCGTGCTCACCGCCTTTTCCTTCCTCCTGGCCTCTTCCCTCACGCCTTCCGCATCTGCCCCGAGGTCAGCATTTCCTTTTCAGAGTTTGGGAGGAGCTTTTTCCAGTGAAAGGAGAAAAACTAGGAGAAAGCGGAAAGGGAAGCCAGCCAGAGACCAGGAGTGGCATTTAGTTTTAGCAGGTGCTTTAACAAAATAAACGTAAAAACCCAGTTTATAAAACTTTCCAGCATTATGTGTCTGTTGCCCCGTGGGCCAGTGCTGTGAACGTCACAAAATAAGCAGGGCTCAGGGGCGAAAGCCTAAAGGCGGCTTTGTTTCTGTCTCCCGCCGTCCCCGAAAAGCTGTTTGTTTGGAGTGGTTTCCCCCAGACCCCTGCCCGCAAATTTCCCATTTTTATGGTCACTTTCAGGTAATCGGCGTCTTTGGAGAGGTGGGTTTCACCGTCTCCCTAGATCAAAGCGCGATCTAACTCTGGGGATGAGGCTTTCTCCCTTGGCTCGGGTGTGACCTGCCATCAGAGAAGGGGCAGGTGGGCACCTGTCCCCATTCCCTGAGTCCTGTGTCTGATCTTGCCGAGGTCAAGGAGGGGACAGGGAGGAGGGGACAGGGGCAGGGAGCTCTTCGTTTTCCCTCAGCCCCGTCCCTGTTTCCGTGGTTCTCTGCAAACCGCTGGGTTCCCCCAATGCAGCTTCCTAGACGCACGCAGTGTCCCTGCCGTGCTGGCCGCTCCTGACGACCCCTTCCCTGCCCCTGGCAGTGTGCTCCAGCGACCGCGGGGACACCTTCACCTGCACGGGGATCCCTTTTTTTTTTTTAATTTTTTTTTTT